GTGCGGAAAGGGCTAGCCTAGCACTACTATCTGCTTATCAAGAATATCTGATGACATTTAAATTGATGACGTCACAAGTGGTACAAAGAGCACAACCATCAATTACGCATATATACGTAGTTGGTATTCAAAGGGTTAACCAAAAATGTATGAAATCCTTCATTGAGCCAAATTTTGCTCGTTAGAGACTAAGAATGGTCAATTGGACCGATCTATGGCGAAAAAGAAAGTTTTGGAGAAAATTTGTGCTTTTCTTTAAACAGTGGCCAATGAGCTTTTTGGTGGTTCATGTTATTTGACACGAATTGATTTTATGATACTTCAGCACTCAGTTTTTCTGTTCTTCCTTGAAGCTTACAACTCTCAATTGTGAGAAATTCATTTGATTAGGCCTCTTAATGTTGATTATTTGATTAAGACAGAAAGCGCTAATTTAGATAGAGACAGAAAGCATTTTCTTGTTACTAAAGGCAAAAGTTTCTTCGGCTTTTTCGAGTAATTGAAACTTTCGTCAACCTCTGAAACCACAATGAAAACACTGACAAACTGTTTACAAGTTCTTTCTCTTATGCACACGTTTCTCTGCTTTTAAACTCCGTTAAAGACGCAGTATCGGGCTTCCTGCTAATGAAAGCTCGTATGTAGCGTAGAGGTTATTTTTCAGATATTAGAGAATTTAAGCATGACGTTAACGGCAGACGGCAAACGGCAAAGATAACCTCGGAATTTTTATTCTTTTCTTTTAATCCCTAAATAAATCACGCAAAAATAGAAAAATGTCTCCTACTTTTCACCACAAATAAAAATATTTTCACTCTACTGTACAAACAGCTGAAGACAGACGGCAAAAGTTTCATTTTTGCCGTTTGCCGTTCGCCGTTCGCCGTAAACGTCATGCTTAACCTCTCGATTACCTAGGATATCACGTGTGCGCGTTCCAACACCACAACTTGTTGACCACGATGACCATTCTTCCCATTTGCAGCTAACAGTGCGACATGCGCAGTCCTTTGTTCTCTGTTCAGTTTCTGGAGGCTGAGGACAGGACTGCGGTAATCCATCACAATTCTCTTTTTGAACCGTTATCTGTGTTGTTCTGAGAAATTAAAAGAACGATAGTAAAAAAGTGTTGAAATGTTAAGGGTTATATGTAATAAACAAATATCCTTTCAAGGGTAAACTGTATACTCCTAGCTGATGCATGCTTCAGAAACCAGACTTGCATTAAGGATATGATACAACTCGAACCATGGACACTTGACAAGTCTAAGATGTAGAAGATGAGCGTTTCTACAATGTGAAAACGCTAACTACGTTCGCTCATATGAAGTTCCCTCATTCGAAAGTCACCAAAAAAGTGTCTAAAGAATGTCAAGTCTTCACGGTTTAAGTGCCCCCGCTTTAAAGGGGCTCCGTCACAGTATTTTGAGTTATTTGGCCACAAACAAAACTACCTTTAAGTGGTAGGAAACCTGAAAATAGCAGTTTACTAAGATAGAAAAACATCAAAAAGATAACGATAAACCATAAAGGAACAAGGATGGTTAAGAATGGAGAAGATTAACACGGATTACAAACGACGAATTTGAAAATTGAGGCAAAACATTTCAATATGCGCAAACCGTGACTGAGCTCCTTTAAGTGCGACTTTCCTCCTCCCTCCCTCCCTCCCCGCCCCCCCCTTAAAGAAAAGAGAAAAGAAAAACGGATTAAGTTTTACTTACTGTATAGTTCTGGTTCGCTTGGCATTGCCACAAGTAGCTGACCACTCACTCCAATCACTCCACTCGCATTGTACTGTCTGACATGTACACGTTTTATTCCTTTGTTCCTTTTCCGGTGGTTGCGTACAGGTCTGTGGCAGACCGGAACAATCTGGCTGCTGTACTACAATTTGAGTGGTCTGGATAGACCGTGTTCTCTCAGCCAACCCGCACGTTGCTGACCAGTCCGTCCATGGCTTCCAGGTGCACTTGACACTCTTGCAAGGACCTTAGAGGTCGATGAATTATAATTATTTAGAAAATAGCCCTAAGAAAATACGCGCGTTGATTGGTTAAAAATCGTGTTTCTATTAAACAATTAGATTTTGAGCTCGAGATTTCTATCGCTTGGTAGTTGACGAGGGCGCAGCCGGAGTCAACTATCACGTATAGAAATCGAGAGCGAATAATCTAATTGTTTTAGTATAAATCTACTAGCCGTTCAATACTTTATCTAAATCCTCTTCACAGACACTTCGAAACTCCAAGAAGCGGCCGTCATTTTGGTAAAAACCGCACACTGCTACGCTACTCACTGCCTATCACAGAATAGATCGTGAGTAGCATAGCCAATCAGAGAACGGCATTCGTGATAGAACGCTAGCAGATTTATACTAAAACTCGATAGAAACACGGTACATCTTTTCTATTTCTTAAATAATAAGTTGAATTATTCTGGCATTTTGATGTTCTGACTTATGATCTATTGGAGGACAGACGCATAGATGACGTCTTTTACATTCTTTTTTGTTTCTTTGTTAAATAAAACAAGTAGATTCCACGTTGCCGTGCGTCTGTTTAGTCAAAGATCACACATCACGTCAAAATGTGGTAAGAACAAAAAGGTAGCACACGAGGCGATAGCCGAGTGTGAGACAATAGTATACCAGAATAAGAATCTTCACGGGACTACGGCTGAGAAAAAACCTGTCCAGTAATCTTACTTACAATTAGTTGTTCTCTTGTCAAGTTGAGGTTCCGGACATGACGTCTGAAGTCCAGTGCAAGATGGTTTATTAATAACGTGTTCTGTTGCTTTGCTCGTTCTTTGCCTGGAACTGGTTCCGCACGTGGCCGACCATGAGCTCCAATCATTCCACGAGCACGTGACGTATTTGCATTGACCTAGAGATGGTAAAATCGATGCCACTCAGTCTTAGTGTGTACTGCGTCACTTACAATGGCAGTTTCTGGTATCGGACTAGGTCTTTATTTTATATTATTATAGTCTTTCCTTAAATGATTTTGTAATTTTAATTAGAATTAGTTTTAATCTTAATCACAAGAATTGTAAAGCGCCATTATTGTTATTATCATTATCATTATCATTATCATTAGAGATTACCAGATCAGCTGCTGACCAAAGCTTCTAGTAACTCCTATGCTTTTTCGTGCTTTTTCAACTTTCCAATTTTTGAAAGTAAGTAGAGAGAACCCGTAGTTAAACCTTGTAAGTATAGAACTTTTACGCAAGAGTCATCGGCTGGAGGTAAATTAAACACGTCGAAAATTAAAGATAGTGCATGACACTTGAAGTAATATAACAAAAACGAGAGACAGTGTTTCATCGCGTTATCCAAACACTGAGAAGAGAGTTGAAAATACGTCGGGCGGCGGAGTAATTTGACGAAATTCGAGGTGTTTGGATAGCCGATGAAACACTGTCTCGAGTGTTTGGTATATCTTCTCCATCGAAACACAAACTAAGGAGTAAACGGAGACGTAAAATCGTCAAAATCTAAACTTATTAAGATCACGTATCTAAACCTCCTTCACGGTTGTAATGTTCTTTGTTTTAACTTGATGAATTATTAATAAGTTCGAGAACTTCAGATCGAACTAGTTTTGCCTCTATTTTTGAATTGCACTTACAATCAATATCTTTAGTTTCCAATTCTTCCTTGTCACATGACGTCTTCAGGCCTGAACAGCCACCCTGCAGTTCTATGACGTGCTCGTTCTCTTTGGTCAGCGTTCTCTTTCTCTTCATACCAGTACCGCACGAGCTGGACCACGAGGACCACACACTGTAGTCACATGTCACGTACTTACATTTGAAAGCTTAAAAGAAACACAACGAGACAAATGGTATTAATCAGTTAAATTCGAGACTGTCGAGATTAGTTTATTTTTATTTGTTTTTTGAGTTTTGTAAAATGCATCTTTCTGTTACCGATCAAAATGATCGTTCCTCGTTTTAACTAAACTGAAAAACGTTCAAAATCAATCCTGTTCTTGAACAAAAAAACAATTGGCCTAAAATTCAGCCATCTCGTCTAGTCACACACTCACGGAGACGGGTTAAATTCAGGCTAGAGCCGAAAGAAGAGATTCAAAGATCTGAAAACCACGCAAGTAGAATTCGTTTGTGCGCAGTGTGTTTTAGTAAGGCTGCTGTACGGGCTCGTTTTTAACTAAAACCTGTCACAAACTGAGTTCTGCTCGCACTTTTTACCTGGAACTGATAACTAGGCCTAAGTTATGAAGTGGTGAGGTGAAAAAGATAGGTTATGTTGTTTCTATTAAATAATCCCGAATGGAGTTTGTTGATACCTCAGTCTTACTAACATACTGAATTGACGTTTGTATTTTTATCCAGATACAGCCAAATGAACAATGTCGGCCTTTCTATGAAGAAATTGTATCTATTCACCAAGCTGGAGAATTATCGTCCTAGTCGAAAGTCTGCCCTATTTTATCAAGCCTGCTGGGCAAACTCTGTTGTTTGGGTTTTGCACTCAACGGAGCCTATACTAAAGCGAAATACGAAGTCCGTGCAAAAAGATCGAGTTCGGTGCTTTGCCAATAAGGTCCCAAGCAAACTTGATCAATAAGAGGTCATATGAGGCTTGCAAAGCAGTAGAAACTTTTCATGGCCGGCCATAATACATTCTTATTGGGTGTTTTATAGTATCATTAGCCATCTCACTAAGTCGTTTAGTAACAAGTCTTGTTAATTCTTACCTTGACAAGAAGAATTTGCCAGAGTGTGCAGCAGGTTTGGTAACTCTGCCATGTTACGGACAAAGAATAAGTGAGAATCTTTAGGTTCTGAAGCCATGAATTCCAGCTCTGCCCGAATGAGATTTCTCCCAACTCCTACCGAAAATATATTCACGCTCATGGCTCTGAGATCTGATACTGGAGTGCGCAAAGAATTAATACCACCAGTGCTGGCTCCGTCTGTTACGATGAGTAACATCTGTAAATATTGAAGGGTAGGGTATTAGTAGTTATTACTGGTGTGTTAATGCATGTTTAAAACAAACAAATGATAAGAACAATGTTGGTAAACACTCAAGTCATGAAGATGGTCTTTGGGGTAATATATCAAAGACGAAAGACCGCGTTTGATCACATTTCCAAACACCGAGAAGAGAGTTTCGAGATGTTTGGAAATGTAGTCAAACACTGTCTTGAAAGTTTGATATATCTTCTCATTCGAAATCAAAACTAAGGAGAAAACTTAGAAATAAAATCGTAAAAATCTATACTAATTAAGATCAGATATCCAAACACCGTCACGGTCATGAGTTACTTTGTTTACACTTGATAAATTCAGATATATGAAATATGCAATCGTTTTTAATCCTCCCCAGCCTTAACCATCTTGGTTCGTCTTTGATTACTTCTAACTTCATCGGCGATTTTCTTCTTTAATTAGCCATTATTTTGTGGTCGTCAGTTTGGCCTTTTAGTAAATCTGAAAATGGCTTTAGCGCGTGCGGTTCAAGCCTCACTTTCAACTCTGTAGCTTTGCTTTTAAGATTCAGCTCAACCTATTTAAGTTACTTTAAGCATTAGATCCTTAACAAAACTAATCCGTAAACACGGTGGAAGTCAATCCTCTGTCCCTGGTTTCTTCTATATATCTCCATAGTGCGCTATGGTTAGTTAGGAATTTGTACGGACTGAGTGCTGAAGGAACTTTCCCTATAGTTTCAATGCTGAACACGTCTTTCATCTAGTGCTCACCTTTGTTACCCCTGGTCTGGCTCCATTTGATGTCTGGAATAGTCCTGTCTTAGCGAGCTTAAGAGCTCTACCGGTATAAGTCCATCCACCTTAAAAATCAAAGAAAATATTAGTTAGAAAAATAGTTTTAACCTATAAGACTAATGGCAAACTGTTATTTTCACACAGTTTGGAGGGAAGTGTTTAGTTTCGAGGTCACTGTGTCCTGTTCTTGGGCAAGACACTACGCGCACAGTGCCTCTCTCCGCCCAGGTATATAAATGGGTACGGACGAATTTAATGCTGGGAGTAGCCCTGCGATGGACTTAGTAGCATCTCTGATCCAGGGGGAGTAGAAATAGTCCTTGTCGCTTCGTGCCACGGAAACCGGAGATAAACATCGGCCTGATGGGCCAATGGGCTCGTATGTAGACTTTACCTTACTCAAGCATGACAGAGAAATGAGGAATTTATTCAATGGTAATTGACCAAAGACATGTGGAAGAACGTTTCGAGTTTTAGCAATAGGATTCGAAACACTTGACCTTCGAACGTCCGTCAAAATGTAACGGGTGCAACACTGCTGGAAGCACATGACCAGTTTTCTTTATCCTTTCTGAGTATAGCCAGTAGCACAAACAAACGAACGTCTTTCACGAAAAAGAAGTATTTTGGAATAGTTTTACACTTACCTCTTTGCCTGATCTTCTTAACAGCGGCCATGAAAGAAGACTTGGTGGAATGCTCACTCAGTTTGATGTCAAGGTCAGCGGCAGTGGCGTATGTAATCACCGCCATTTGAACTCCGTTGGGGCCAAAGTTAGAAAAGCCATCTGCAAGGGCCGCGACGAAATTCTTTTCTCGATCAAAGTCATCGCTATCTATACTGCCAGACTCATCCATGATTACTCCGAGTTCAACTTTACAACCTGAAAATCAGAAAGTTTCAGGAACGTGTAAGGTTACTAAGATCGATTTATACCGTAAATTCTACAATCATGACCAAACGTTCTTGGGATACTTCACAAAATGCTAACTGGCGAGGCATTATTTTGAGGTGCCCCCTCTTCCCTTCCTGCCAAAGTAATGTTGGAATAGTGGGTCTACTTTGGATGAATCAACATCAAAGTTGCTTTGGGGGTGGGGAGGGGAAAGAAGACAGAAAGACCATATGCTGGCAAAAGTGCAAAGTGTCCCAAGACTTTTGACCAGGATAGTAGTTTGTTCAGTGTGCAGAAAGCTTTGAGTAAAGACTTAAGAGGGTAAAGATTACTTACGTTATAACCAGGAATAACAATGTGCAAGGATTTCTTAGGTAAAACTAGTTAGAGAAAAACATCTACCAAAAACTCAAACAAAACCTTCCATAATTAAATGGACCCGATTCTACTTCTAAGGGTACCTGCCCATTAATGGAAGTAAGACTGCAATATTATATAATGGGGAAAAGAGGACTTCTTAGAAAAAATCACGTGATCTAGATTAATTGGATGTTAAGTGGTAAGTGATTAGAGGGGAAACGTTGGTCGTAAATAACCAACTCAGTTCAGTTGAATCTGATGTCAAAGAGCCAGTGTTAAGAAATATAGTTTTGGTTAAGGACGTTGAGTTTTGTAGCTGAGGTACCTAAATGGAGCTAGGAAGAAGCGATTTTCAATCCAACAATGATACATGTCTCTGTGGGCAACCATAGTATGTACGCATGTCATCTGTGTCGGAATAGCATGCCATGTAATGCCAACGAAAACGCAGAACTCACATGATATAAAAGTCGACTCCGTCTGTGGAGCAGGGCAGGTTGTCTGAAGGCCGTTACATTTTGGTCTGTTGACAACGTGTTGCGTGACTTTACTCGTGCGCTGTCGAGTCATCTGACCACATGTTCCAGACCATCCTCCCCAAGAGTTCCAGGAACATGTCACGTACTTGCATGGACCTGATGAATAACGCAATGTAATATTCCTTAATTTAGGGTGACTAGCTAGGTCACACTATTGCAGAAATTATTTTACGCATAAAGTAACGAATTCATTTGAAATAGAAGTCCCAAACAAGCCAAACAACGGTTTAAAGGGCAACTGGAAAACGGAATGAAGAAGGAGTGCGAATCTTGGTTAAATATGTGGAAGAGTAAACAAGCTGTACTGAGTTAAATCATAAACTACGGTTAAATTCCTTTCACGACGACCCACTCGCAACCAATTCAGAAATAATTTATGTTTATCATTTAGCTGAGAACATCACTTTGTCTTTTTGTCATATTCAAGTTGCAATCATACCTCACACAACAGAATTGGCGAAAATCGCAAAATAGGTTTCCTACCCCCTCTTAAATTGTAGTAACTTTGTGCTTTTACCAAGAAGGGTCCCTCTTGCAATACTCACACAGCGAATTTTTAGTTTCCACTTTTTCCTTTTGACATGTTGTCGTAAGACCCGAACATCCCCCCTGTTGTTCTATGGTGTGCACGTTCTGTTTGGTCAGCGTTCTCTTCCTCTTCATACCAGTACCGCACGAGGTCGACCACGAGGACCACACGCTGTAATCACATGTGACGTATCTACACTTGTATTCTGTAAAAGAAGAAGATATTACTTTTATTAAAGAAATTTTGAATAACGTCTTACGAAATACACCAATTCAAGAGTAAAACAGGTATGTCACACTCAATAAATAACAACTGATTCAGTCTTTTCAGGTTACCGTATACCTTTAGAGCAAAAAGGTATAAAATACGACGATACGATTCATTTTATTTCCAAATTCTTGGTATAGTTTGATAGCCAGCTCTATAAGCTTTAATTCGATATGGGGGTTTAGGTACCTACAGTTTAAAAAGAGGCGCGCTAAATCGCTTGGACGCGAGACACCTCTAAAGGTATATAACCTTGAGTCAACTGAAGAAAAAATCGCCTTTTTGCTTTTATGTGAAAACCGCATTATGGATCTTTAAAAGTTAGACTTAGTGAATTCCGGTGCACACACACTTTCGCAAATTATTGACGAGCATCCAATAAAATCCTTATTAAAGAACATTGAGCCATCACGCACTCTTCAAAATTTGGTTAGCTGTTGTTATATATTCCCATGGTTCTGAGTTCTCCACACCTCTATCGTGCACCACACCAACGATCATTTAAGTTTGCATTTCTTTAATATAGATGACTACATCAGTGTAAGAAACGCTTACACTAAACCTGTCATTGCTCTAAAAACAATATGACTCATCCCAAGTGTCCAGAGGTCTTTAGAGTGCACCAGACCAAAGCTTAAATCTATTTTTCCAAGTCAACTTCACTTTTCTCTGGTCATGTAAAAATTGATGTACCCCCTTCCTACTGAGGATGCAACTACAATATGTACTTCCCAGAGGTGCTCCCCGAAAAATTGGGTGGGGTGTGCGGCCCGCTTCCCAAAACCCTTACCCTATTTATGACCAAAATCTGTGATTTTCCCTACCCTATTTATGACCTGACCAAAAATTCGATACCCTATTTATGACCGTTGCGGCTGGCACAGTTGCTCTTACTTTTATGAAGGGCTTTTGTTGATGGTCTTATCGATAATTTTTTCTAAGAAACATTCTCAATCCAATACTAGAGTGGAAAAACCATACCTTTTTTATGACCAAAACGGCCGCAAAACCACACAATTTGGGGCCGCACATACCTATATAATCCATACAAATGGGGTTTATGTCCGGTATTCACTTACTCTTGCAAGCTGATTCGCCGATATTTGTCAACAGAGTTTGCAGCTCCTGCATAGTAGCTACATAGAACACGTGCTCTTTGACAGGTGCTGTGGCCATCATCTCCAGCTCTCGTTTGTTGATATTTCTACCGATTCCAATGGCGAATATATTGACGTAACTTTGTTTTAGGTTCTCGAGAGGATCGCGAAGCGATTTTTCTCCTCCTGTGCTAACTCCATCCGTTAACACGACAAGAATCTGATGTGGGGAAAAAAATTAGTTATTGAATATTGACTTTACAAATACTAGCGTGACGATTTTACTGAACATTTTTTCGCGCAAGGTTGCCTTTAGGTTGCTTTCAGGTTGCGTTCAGGTTGTGTTTAGGTTGCGTTTGCGTAGTGTTACGTTCAGACACTGGGTACTCTAAGTACCCAAGTACCATTTAGTACAAGGTCGATACCTTGTATCCGGGCATGGCCACTGTGCCTGAATTCTGGACTTGGAAAAAAGGTGTGTTCACATTAGTTCCCAGCGAAATTCATGCTCGGCACCGTGCTAGGGCACCAAGTGTGAACATACATGTGGCCTTAGATATAATTTTCTGTTCTTTTATGTAACAAACCTTTGAAACACCAGGTCGAGCTCCATTTGCTTTTTGGAAAAGTTGATTCTTGGCGGCGATTAGAGCTTTATTGGTGTAAGTCCAACCCTCTGTTGAAAAATAACAAACCGACCTCATACCTCAAGATTAATTTGAGTTTTGGTTTAAACCTTTGTTTTTACTTTAGTTGGATCTCAAATTGCTTGGTGGTTTATGGCGAGAGATTAATGAATGGGCTTCAAATACTTCTATCAGAAAATGTTTCGTGAATAGATTTCTTTATCTGTTTCTTGCAAGAGCACCAGCCCCGCTGACCAATCTGGCTCATTATATTCATCTCTTAACGTTGAAGCTAGGTAAAGGTAAAGTCTGCATACGAGCCAAGTGGCCCATCAGACCGTAGGTTATCCCGGTTTCTGTAGCATGAAGTGACTAGGAGTATTTCTACTCCCCCCTGGATGGGATGCTAGTCCATCGCAGGGTTACCCCCAGCATTAAGT